TTAAATATTTAATACTGTAAGATGCAACAGGCGAAACATGAGTGCACAGTCAGGATAAGTAAACCATGGCTGAATATTCATGTATCATTAGAGACAAGGACATCTTTTGACTCCATAACGGTGAAGATTATTTAAATGTCGTTGTTTGTTGTTTTGCTGTGTAAAATATGTTTTGTCGGTTAGAGTCTACTGAGGAAAGGGCAGAGAGAAATCAAACACAGGACAAGATGGAGGCATACAGAGACACTGTGAGTGAAAATGACCAAAAATAGCCTGCACACCAAACCTCTGAGAGTGGTATTCGGTTCCTGCACTGCTCCTCTTTAGCCGGGCTGGGGAAGGACAGCTAGACAGTCGTTGTCTGATTGATTGTGCAGAACAGGAGAAGAGGAGAGTGGTTGCCATGGGGACCAAGAAAGGGGCCTTTTCTCCATTTTTTTTTCTGAGGACCAGTAATTGGTGATAAACTTCAAGGGAGGGGCTTGAAGGCGGTAATCAGACGCAGCAGAGCACGACGGCTTTCGCAGAACCGCAGAAGAGCTGCAGGACTCAGGAAGTGTGTGTATGTGTGTGTGTGTGTACGAGAGAGAGTTTGTGTGTCTTCCAGTCAGCTGGAGGTGACTGAAGACAAGGTGTTAATGAAATGTATAAAAGGAGACTGCTCAGATTAACTGCATCCAGCTGAGAGATGCTCCACGTGGCACTGCAAACCATCGAACCCTCTTAAGATCACACAAGTTCGCTCCAACCCCATTTTCATTTACAGCCACAACCCACTGGAGGGGCTCCGGGGACGAGAAGGACTGCACACATACACACACACACACACACACACACACACACACACACACACACAACTAGAAGATGCAAGTATAGTAGAGTGGGATCATGAGGTGTGCCTATTTTGTTGTCAGAACTAGTTAATAACACCGCTACATAATACATATCACTACAGACCTTGTAGCGACGCTTCTTTAAGATTTTATAACCCTCAGAGAAGCTGTGTGTACTCTACATTTCATTTTGAAGGTTAGAGAGTACAGTAAGTCAATGAGGCAGTGTGTGTGTGAGTGTGTGTTTATTGTATGCAGGTGGAATTATTGACTTTCTTGAGAATCAGATGCTGCATGTGAATGAAGTAAAACACAATTTCTACAGACTCTCAATGCGGCGTCTCTCCTCTCTCACTGTAAAATAGATTAAAAGTTATTTTAAGTTGGAAACAAGTTATCTAGGACTTTTGATTTGATGACTGGACACAGGCACAAAAATCCTGATGTTTGCTGTATTATTATTCAGTTGGGGTAGTGGTAAGATGCATGTTGGCCTGTTGTATACTGCAATGTATGTATTGCTATGAACTATCCAAAATGCCATTTTTTTTTTTTTAAAGCAACCTCAAGCTGTGATGATATTGTAACATCCCAGGAGGGTAGGTGTAGTGGAAAGCCTTCTGGGCATGCACAGAGGCTTTTTTTAAAATGTACATTAGTCTCGGTTTCTGCAGCATTCCAGGTATTTTAGTGTTTGACATTTTGGGCAATAGCAGTTCTCCGACAGTTCATCTGTTGTGGGTTCAGCCAATATTAGGTCATGTGAATGCTAAGTCTGGTCTGTTACAGTACTTATGCTCTGAGATGGCCCTAATTTATCACAATATAATTCAAGTATTAAATTAACATCACATTTGCTATTTCAAGTTCTTTTTGTTGACATTAAATATGAGTCTCAACAGTATAGCTTGGCTGTAGGCCTGCTTTGTGTTTGATAGGTAAACATGGTAAATTCAAATCAATATTTAGCATCTGGCTGCTGACCTGAAGGAGTTGATAAATGTGTGCATTAATGAATCAATTAAGGTCTTAATGTAAACATCATTTTGCATCAAAATTCTGCTCATTAGCTACAAAGTCTTTTGGGATGAACTCCCTGCTTTCTCATCTCTCCAGCTGCCGTTATCTCTTCATCATCTTAACAGGGAATTTCCCCAGTGTGGGATCAATAAAGTCTTATTTTTATCTTAAGACATTCTCCTGATGGTGATATGAAGTGGGAGTCCCAATCTTTGTGTAAAATCTCAAAAATACAATGAAATACACAATTCAGACAATAGTCGTAAATTAGGAAACAAGCATACTGTACCATTCTAATATATTTTGCTATGTTAATACCTTTTAATCTTTGATTGGACTACTGGTTCACATTTTTTTCCTGCACCAAAATAAGTTATGAGTAGATGATAGAGCTGCTCTGACTTTTTTAATCTTCCGTGTCTCATTATCTTAATCTAAATGACAAGTTATTCGAGGATCCAGTACATGACAAATAACAAAAAGCTTGGCAGAAGGTTGGTTGTACTCGCCCTCTCACCTGTACACGTCTCTTCACACCTCTTCAGTCTCCCTGACAGCTGCTTAAATCAATGTGTGCTACTGAACTTCAGCACTGAGACAACAGAGACAAGAAAGAAAAGGAACATGCTGCTTCAGGAACGTGTGAACCTCCTGATGCACGGCCGATCTGAAGCATAACGTTAAAGAAAATACAGCATGACCTCTGACAGTAATGCTTTTTATAGTCAAAATGCTGCAAGGATCGACACCTTTGATGTGATCTGTGCCTGCTTGGCTGGTTTCCTTGACGACAAAGATTTTTGAGGCTGAAATGATTTTTGTCTGGGACCAAAAAGGAGAAAATGTGTAATGAATATGAACTGAACAAACAGGTTCAATCGATTATATATCTGCTAAACTTGTCTAAAGCTCATCAGTGCTGGATTAGGAAGTTTTACAAGAGGTGGGGTGGCAGCCGGTGCTGGCAGGGTTAGGAAGCAGAGGGCACAGAGTAATTATCTAAATCTGGACTGATGCCTCATGCAGCTTAACACTGCAGGTGAATGGAAAAGGCACAATGAAGGACACAAGGTACAAATAAATATAATCTATAGTATGCCACAGATAGCTGTAGTACAGTACATGATTAATGAGCGCTGTAAACAAAGCATTGCTGTTGTAGAGAAGGTCAGGCTATTGTTTGATTTTAAAGACCACTGGGTGGTACTTTCATGAGGGAAATCAAATCGAACTCCCCTTCTGTACCAACATTACAGCAGAAAAAGAGAAGGAGGTTGAGCATTTTAACTACTTGTATATTGTTGGGTAGTTTAATCAGTGATGCATCATTTTCTATAAGATCATCATATGTTGGTAGTGTTGCTGTCCTGTAAAAAACACCCTGTTTTCAGCTATGTGACAAGCTAATCTAAAAAGGTTTTTAAATTGTTGATTTAACTTAAGAATAACCCCTAAAGGAACACTTAATCCTTCAGTTTATCAGAAGATTTACATTCAAAATCACCAAATGGTTTTCACTGGACAGGAAATGTATGAAAAATTGTAAATCTGAGAAGAAATTTGCGACTAAAACTGCAAGAAAAATGTGAAAAGTACAATATTTGCCTCTGATATGTAGTGGTGTATAAAGTTGCATGAAATTTAAATACTCAAGTAATGTACAAAAGTGCTGCTCAGGTGTCAAAAAGGGTGTCCCTCTGGTGCTTCTTCAGTTTAGGGATCAGATAGTTTAGAATTGTACAAGAAATCTGAGGCACTCAAGAAGATAGTAATTTAAAAAGCCTTTAATATCTGATGGCTGGAGATATTAAAGGCTAAATCACTACCCTCTTGAGTGCCTCAGATTTTTTTAACTAAAGTACAAGTACCTCAAATTTGTACTTAAGCACAGTTCTTGAGTAAAAGTACTAACAGACTGATCTTCGAGCATGCACTGATGGCAGTCTGTCTTTACGCACTCAGACCCACACATGCTTTTCTTTGCTGACTCGTTTCAGGCTGAGAAGAAGCTTCCACGTCTGCTGATAGAGCTCAGCAGGCAGTGAGAGCCAATTTAAGTGTCACTCACTCACGTTGCTCGTGTTGCTGTGTGCTCTGAGTGGAAATGAAGGAAATTAGCTCACACAGGTGGATGTCCAGATTTCTGAGAGAGGCTAGTGGCTGCTATTGTCCCTCCTGTTGTTCCTCTAGTTCAGGAGTTGTGGCACACTGTGCTCAATGAAAATTTACTATTTATGTTTGGTAGCTGGCAGGTGGGCTGGCAGGTCCTGGCAGTTAGCACGCCCTGCCACCCTGTAGGTCCGCCCCTGAAGCTCATCTCCTCAGTTTTGACTTTATCTCCGTCTTCCATTCATGCTCTTTCTCTGAACTGCATTCATCTGTCTCCATCCTCTGCTTTATGTAACTGCTGCTATGACCTATGTAGTAAAGGCCATTTTGGTGTGTGTGTGTGTGTGTGTGTGTGTGTGTGTGTGTGTGTTTTAAGCATCTTCCTGTGTGTGTTCTTACCCTGTGGGTTTCCTGTGCGTGTGTGTGTGAACAGTATAGTCAAGGCCTCCTGTGTGCGAGTCCCTCGTGGGGCTCTCCGGTGTGTGTCTCGAGGTACAGAGTGACCCTGATGTGTCAGCTCTGCTTAGAAGAATGCATGGAAAACTGGTGGACCACTGTGACTCACACTCTCTCTCTCTCTCTCTCACACACACACACACACACACACACAGAGGAAACCTCCTCAGGGCTCTCCCTATGATCACTGCACCCTACCCACCCACACACACACTCCTGACATTTTTCCTCGAAGCACATCTATAGGCTTCCAATTTATGGCTGTTGCATGACATTGTCATGAAAACCGCAGGCCTTGCAAAAGTTTCAGTCCTTATATATTTGTTTACTGTACATGCGCAAATGTAATGCGCTGCGTACGTGTTTGTAGCCCAGCTTGTCTTTCCAGTTACCCTGCAGGGCAGATTAGAGTTTGACGGTGTGTGTTTGTACATTAATTTAAAAAATGGCTGAAGAAAAACAAGTGGATTACCATGAGGGCAGAGCAGAGCTGGAGGGTGTCAACCTTTTTAAGAGTAAAAGGAATGTGAGGATGTACTGCAGTCTTATGCATGTTCAGAAAGACACAACATCACACACACCACTAGCTGAATGTGTTTATTAGAGTTTCAGAGATGCAAAATCAGTAAAATGCAGAGTAACAGAATAAGAAAACAGTCAGACGGAGAGAGAATGTACACTGCTTATAAAAAGTATCCATCACCGCCTGTTGGACTTTGACTTTACTGTTTAACAACATTGAATCACTGTGGACTAACGACGTTTTGATAGAGATCAACATAAAAAAGATAAAACAGGAAATAATAATTGCATTCACCCAACATGGCTGCAGTCAAGTGCAAAGGGGATCATTTGTGAGTAAGGCAGGTGTGAAAAGTAACTTAGTTTAATACACCTGCATGTGAAAGCTCCAACACCCCGATTTCAATTTCCTATAAAAGCTATGACGACAAAGGAACATTCATATCTGTGAGGGAAGGATGCAAGAATACTTCCAGAGAACTAAATTACCCATTTAAGTGGAGTAAGATCCAACATAAAAAATAATGGAAAGGAAATGGCATAATTGGAACACAACTGTGTAACAACGTGTGTAAACAGGGCACCAGAGTGCAACTGGGGCTTTATGGCTGTGGAAAGAAGTTTGAAGGCATATAGACAACAGACAAAGTGGATTAGGATTATTCTGTCTGATGAGTTGAGGTTGCACAGCCCAAACCTTAATTCAGTCAAACGTTTGTGGGAGCGTACTGTGAGCACAGCAACATAACTTATTGTTTTAAAAAGTCTGAATACTTGTACAAACAATTATTTTGTGTTTAAATATCTGCTTTCACTTTTTCTGGTGGTCAGTGTCAAAAGCCCTTACCATACATCTACAGTAATTCAACGCTGAAAACAATAAAACATGAAAGAAAGTACATGGAGGGAATGAATATTTTCTACAGGAAGTGTAATCCTGTTACAGTCTTCTCTAGACTCCTGTTGAGGTCTGGGCTGGAGGGCAGCTAATCACATACTCTCTCTCTCACACACACACACACACACACACACACACACACACACACACACACACACACACACACACACACACACACACACACACACACACACACACACACACACACACACACACACACACACACACATTGTTTAAAAGGTGTTTAAAACTAACACTTAGCTGAACATGCCGATCAGCAGAGGTGGAGCAGCTGCAGCACAGCAGCTAGCGTCCTGTGCTGTCCAAATAAATAAAAAAAGAAAAATCTTTACAAGGGGAAAACATTACAGGTGGTACAAAGGCAACTGACAATTAACTGACACATTAGTACAGTTAATACAGATTGCTTCATGGCTGACTATTTACATGATAGGAGACTATAATGTAGTTTAATTTGTTTCTTGTGCTTACAGATAGGAAGTCCTGTGCCCTGTGTTGGGGTTTTGATGAACAGACTACAACAATATACTGTTGCAAAGAATCTATGTATAATGGACAAATAAAAGACACACTGATCCCAATATGACTAAATCATAATCTAAAACTTCATAAATACTGATGGTTAATAACAAAACTGCCCATGTACTGTATATTACGTCTTACAGTTTGTGGAAAAAAACATTTTGCCCTCTTCTTTTAATCTTGAGAAAATTGATATTTTCAGCACAACTCCTTCCTTCACTCTCCAAAAGACACAATTTCATACAACAAGTATGTGAAACTTCCACTCACAAACACTCCTACACACAATCATACATACTGTATACACACTGGTGCACATATGCAGACGACTAATATGCAACTCTGGCAGAGGTTTTGCACAGTACTGGCAAATGTCCTGTGGAGTAACAGACACAGATCCATCATCTGTCCTTTCTCTGCTTTTCTCTCCGTCCCTGTGGAACTGGGGATAAAATCAGTGTCACTGTCTCCTATGACATCAGCTTTGCTTACAAGAGCAATTTTCAACTGCAGGACTATCCCAACAATTCTTTGAGCAATAGTAGAGAAAGAGAGCGAAAAACAACAGAACATAATAAATCAGATTCAGCGACAACTGCAAGTGAATAAACTTCAACTTCTATTTGAAAAAAAATATATATATATGTTAAGCACTAGTGTGCCTAGAAGCGCTACTGCCTAGAATAACCAGATTCTTTTCTGAAAACAAACAAGAAAGAAAATAAAGTTTCTCTCTTCATGTCTTTCATGCCTCTGTCCCATAATGCAATGCAGTTGGGGGCAGACTTGTCACATGAGCTGGAAGCCAGTTAGGAAATCTTCAGGGTGATTGTGGTCCATCAAACTGTCTCTCTTCCATTTTTAATGCCACAGCTCCCAGCTGCTTTTACTGGACATAAAGTAAAGTAAAAGTCATTTGTGCACCATTGGAGGTTAATTTTTCATGTGATCCTGTTGTCCATTATGGTCCAGTTCATATTCAGAAGGAACAGACGGCAGTGTAAGGCCATAATCCACAAACAGTGTCCGTCATTGTGGACCTTACAGTAGAGAATGATGTCTTCACCCGGATGTTCAGAGGTCATCTGAGGCTGACCGTCTGCCCTTTAAAGAGCAGAAAACCAAAGCATTAGGCATTCAGATCAGTGTTGTCACATCCTTTTTAGTCATAGACATTTGTATATGTTCTTTTTTAATCTGTTACCGAGGACTGAAACTACTTTGTGAAACAAACATGCCAATTTTGTCACTCAACCTACAACCAGTTTCACAGCATTTTCAAAATCCCCTAGGGAGGTCAAGCTTAAAAATTGCATCCAGACTGCAAATGTCTCGGAGCCATGGCAACCAGATATGAGGCTGCTGACAAAATGTGGACTCAATAAGCACCGATCAAAAGAGGAGATGAATACAGATACTACTATGCTAACTAACAGTTACAGTAACTAACTGTAAGTAAGTTCCCATTTACTGTAATTTACTCACATTCACAAGCCCCTGATGCAGCTCACACAGACTAAATAAATACTGCTGATATATGAACCCAAATATATTTAATATAAAAATGCCACATATGGTAGAATGTATGTGTTATTCACCTTAAAGCTTGTATGAGTGTGAAACTGTCTTACCTGTCTTGCAGCGACCCTTATCGAACATCTCTAAAGAGCTGTAAGAGAAACAACAGAGGCGGTTAAGACAGCGAGGAAGATGGACAGATGGAGAAACCCGGAGGTGTAGAAACAGAAGGTGGTGAAGAGAGTGATGGACTGAAGACAGGAGGGAAATGTAGGGTGAAAGAGATAAAGACGTAGGCAGGTGGTAAGAGTGAATCTAAAAAAAAAGACAAGGGTGAAGAAGACTTGTTTTGAGTGAGAGACGGAGAGATGTGAAATTAAAATTCAAAACATCATTGGATTAACCTTGAGAGTCATAAACTGGAGAAGTCAACTTCTCTCTCTCTTCCTCTCTCTCTCTTCCTCTCTCTCTCTCCCTCTCCCTCTCTCTCTCTCTCTCTCTCTCACGCACACGCACGCACCTACACACACACGGTCAGTGTTCCACATTTACTCTTTCAATTCACGTTGAAAATTGGACATATCAATATGCAGTGAATTTCTCTCCTCCAGCCCCACATACACAAACATCCTGCAAAATCCTGCTGCTGCCCCATCACCAAAGCAATCACACCTCCTCTCACAAAAAAATTGTATCCAGTCAATACACTGAACAGACGAGGATCAACAGAAAATATCTGGAAGGCAACAACACAGCAACCCTGGAATGGTGTTATTGCCAAAGACTGAGTTGAATTCTTATGTGCTGCTGCAATCGGCAGCAAACTAATGAGAGGCATGTGATGGCTAGAAACAGCAGGAGGAGACAACAGCATCATCAGATTGTGGACATTTGGTCCCCTAGCACCAAGACTGAGTGTTGAGTTAATTATTTTGGATGGCTGCACTGAAATCTTCTATGAAAAAAAGAGAACAGATGGAGAGGGTGATATTGATGTTGTTAACGAGATCTGGTTTGAAGTCAGTGCGCTTAAAATGTAGTCCAACAAATCAACGGTGATGTCTGTCAAACTCTGAACTGCCAAGTACACAACTCTACGAGCTGATACGGCAGCAGTGCTGTGAAACACAGTGTTAACTATGGTTTGCCTGTAGGCATGAGTTCACTTCGAATGTGTTAGTCTTTGTTTCTGTTGTTTCTTCGGTGTTTTGAAGCTTTGGCAGAGCCTCACCAGAATAACTCTTGCTGAATTTCAGTTTTGTTGGTTCTCAGTCCAAACCTCCTACAATATGAAGATGGTGCTGTCTACTCCCCTTCACATTATCTGGATTCTTAACCATTTTTAGACCCAGACACAAATTTGTAATTTATTCTCATCCTGGAAGCCAGGCTCATGAAAACACAAGGACTACAGGGCTTCTGTAGTCTATTTTTGGTCAAAACCCACAGTTTAAGAACCCAGATCCTGCCATGATGAGTTAATCAAAGATGAATCATCAAACAGAGATCATTGATCCTGCACAGGTGTAACCCCCAACTCCTGTCCTCCTTTTTGCTGAAGTAAATAACTCAAAGTCAAAGAATTAATGTGCATGTTTTTACAAGACTGATGCAGAGTTTATCCATGCACAATCATATATCTAGAATTTTAGATATTAGCACATATTACACAAGAGGCACACATTCAGTACAAATGTGTTCTCCCCTTGGTGAGGATTAGGGTTGAGGGTCTGGACCACCTGTATAGAATGAATGTCTCTGATTGGCCAGCAGCTTTTAGATCAAGCTTCCTGGTTTGGCCAAGATTAGTCCCAGTGATTGGTAGGTTGACTCACAGCAAGCGGGTCTTGGCTGAAAGCTGCAACGCTGTTCCGCATCTCATTCTCACTGCCACGCAGTGGTATCAGAGACACGTTACCATGACGCGTGTCCGGTAACACGCGGCTCACCCGTGTCTGCTTGAGTCCATCCTGAGGCCACACGTCGCCATCGTACTTTAATGAGGAGAGGGAGGGAAAGAGAGCAAAAAGAGATTTTACAATGCTATCAACAGGTTTAAAGCATGTAGTTGTGTCATGCCATTTAAATTGTCCCCTAAAGGTCTACTCCATCCGATAGTGCTGTGTTATCACTAATGCTAAGGATTACTTCCGAAACTATTGGTCTGGTCTTAAAGATTATTGGTCAGTGGACACAAAATGTCAAGATTCACACAAATAGTTGAGTTACAGCAAGTTAATAACTTGAGTGCACTAAAGCCAGTCAACTTATTGTTTTTATGTGTATATATGTATGTATATGTGTGTGTGCGTGTATGTGCGTGTGTGATAGAGATCACCTGGATACTGAGAAAAGTAGCATACCACTCCCTCATTTCTGACTGAGTGTCACAGCAGAGATACCTGCAAATAAATAGAGGATGATGAAGTGAGGGAGACAGTGTGATAAAAATCAGGAGGTGGTGTGTGTGTGTGTGTGTGTGTGTGTGTGTGTGTGTGTGTGTGTGTGGTCTTGGGGGAGAAGAAGTCAGAGAGGCAGTCAGAGACTAAGGGAAATTTGGAAAAAGAACCAGAAGAAAGAGAGGGGTAGTCAAAGATATTAACTAAAATTGACACATCTTCTCTTATGGCGCCCCATAGTAGCGCCGCGAGCGTAAACACAGAGTGTGATTTCTAATTTAAACTCCTAACAAAGAGGAACACTGATTGGGACCTTCAGCGTTCAGTGTGTGCGCCTGTGTCCGTGATAAGTGTAATTGTGTCTCTGTTATGTCTGCGTGTGTACGTGCATATTTAATGCCACTCAGCTTGCCGTCACATAGCCCTCTGAGTCATCAGCCATGCTGTGGTGCTGAATAAATAGGCTTTATTTATACAATTATTATTGTTATGAGAACAGATTTAGACTACAACAATTATTCAAGTGCTGTCCACTGAGACACAACAAAACACTGATGCAGACTTCAGAACTAGACAGCATACAGTATAGTGAACACCACAGATATAGATTTACCTACAGTCAAGAGATCTGACATACCTCACACTCACTCAGAGCTCCTCCCGTTCCCTGGTTTGCCTTTGAGGGCCAACAGACCTCATTAGTGCTTGTTGGGCTTTGAAGGAGGAAAGTCACTCTATTCTAGCATGAATACCTACAGTGCTGTATTCAATAATGTTCTACAATACATTGACTTTCTATGCAATTAACTGGGCTGCTAATCTGAAGCATTATCAGCAGCAGAAGAATAAATGCTGCTCATTTATCATCATGGTTTCCATAAAGACACGGAATACAATTTACATAAAATGTATCAGTGTGCCTGTGAGTAAGTAAGTGGCTGCAAGAATATACTGATAAAATAGTGCAAAAAAGAGAAAATTAAGTGTTAGAGAGCATTAAGTTGATAGAAGCAATAACGGGATAATACTAAGCAACATTAAGTGCAGGTTGGTGTGTAAGATTGGGAGAATGAGGTTCAGTCAGCCATATAGGAAACTCATCATACATTCAGTTTTCCATATTTTCACTTTCTTACTTATCTCTAACTACTCTTCTCCTCGCTAAGTTTTCTCTTATCTGCAGTAAATGCAAACTTTCTTACTTAGTATACAGTTTCTTCCCTTCAGCCTGACACTTTGCCTCCTTGCTTCCCACTTTCTCCCCCTGCCTCCTTTATCTTTGTTTCCACATTCCTTCCCTCCCTCTCCCTCTCTCTCTCCACATTTCTTACTCTCAGGTGTGTTTTTGTTTTGCTGTGAGCGACGTGCCGATGGAGCGTAACAGAGAGATGATACTGCCTACAGCGTGACGAGAACAGCAGTCCCATTACAACAGTGGTGATGTCTACTGCTGTTGACAGTGCACAGCCCACTGTAACATGAACACACGGACACACACGGAGCATGCACATGGATGTATACACATTTTCGACTCGTGTATGTGGGCACACACACAGAATTATGTGAACAGATCCCGGATTAGAATAGAGGAATGGTTACAGGTGTACTCATGTGTGTTTCCCTCCTGGGTGGAGCTGACCTTTTATATGCCTCCTTCACCAAACTCTCATGCAGGGATGTGACCTGTTTTCTCTGCCTACAGAGAAACCGCTAGCTTTCGTTAACACTGGTCATGTTTACATGCATGTTAAAAATGTGATCATACTGCCACTAAGGGAAAGATTTGACAGCAGTCATGCCAGAATGACTCAATAAGTTTGCAGTGAAGGCTGTGTACTACTGCAGAGAGATAAAAAGCTGTAGTAGTGTTGTACTATAGTATGATGATTTAACTGTCGCAGTAGAACAGGAATGAAATTTCTTACCAGGTTATTACTATTGTTATTGTATTATATTAGTTTTGTCAATGGTTAAATATTGGACACATGTAAATGTAGGCAGTGGATTTCATCTGTATGTAGGTATGAAGCTCAGAGTGCAGACCACTGCACCAAATCTATCCTGAGTTGGGGCGTAATACAGATAGAATAAATCATGTATGCTTGTTGAGACTGACAACATGAGCAGGACTGGCTTGAGCTGTGCCAGCTCTGGGCTGACAGCTAAGTTTTGTATATAAAAGGTCTACATGCTGTACATACAGTACTGGATATCTACTCACCACTGCTGTCTCTCTGGCTTCTCCTGTTTCTTACTTTCATACACCACCGTCAGTCCCCAACTGGAAACAGACAAAGGAACAGACGGAAAGATAGACAGACATTAGTCCAACTGCAGCAGTACAGTTATAAATGTCCCAGCAGCTTATGATTCTTGGGCTTGACTGTCCCCTGGTGGTCACTCTCGTTAAAAGTCCCCATAAGTCATTTCAGATGAGGCAAATCATTAAATGTATCTAAAATTGGAAAATTAATTATTTAACTTTAGTCATTCATTATTATTGTTAAATCATTATGCTGAAGAGCAAGTAGGGTTACAGAGTTGGCACTCAACCTATTTTAAATTGATTAATTCTGAAGTAAGCTCAGGAGCATTGACAGTTGAATGAAAATAACATTAAAATTTAGTCTGTAAATGTATTATTTTACAGCAAGAGGTGAATATTTTAAATATTCAAGTACTTTATGAGCCAAGGAAGCAGATTGGTAAATTTTATGTGCCCAGTGAAGTCTTCTTGGTAAACAATCACAGTTCTCGTCATTCAGCGCAGCCACTTGTTGCTTTGCTGCTCAGTTGTCGTGAGATAAGATAAGAAAGTGGCGTAAGTGCTACGCTGCATGTGCTCACCATGTGGGAGGACGGAGCTTCTTCTTAATACCCAGGTAGACCTTTAGGTTTTTTGCTGGCCACTCACGTTCTGGACGGTTACTCTAAAAGACACAGAGAGATAAAAAGGTAGTTAATGAGCTAGTGATGGCTTGTGAAAATACAAAAAAACTGTCCAGAGTAGATCCATCAAACTTACTCTGACTTCCTTGTACATTCTGAGAGAGTTGGAATTAAGGATGAAATATCGGTCATGGAAACTTCCAGTGGAAAGTCCCAATCCCAAGATGCTTCGCTCTTCTCTGAACTTCATCATCCCATGCTTGGATGCATCCACTTTACTAGCTGGAGGACAGATGGAGAGATTAGTAAGAATGAAGTGATGTGGAGGACAAACAATGCAGTGATTTAAAAAGAATCATTTAGTTGGTGATTTGATTTGCGTGTTTACCCAGGTAGAGGATCATTGAGTCCATAGCGACATGTTTCTTAATGAGCAGATGGGAGTCAGTGCCAAAGGAGTGAAGGATGGGTAAGACTCGCTCCTGATAGTGCAGTGGACGTTCTGGGGGAAGCACAGTGACACACAGCACCACTGAAGTAACCTCACATCATTTGTTTACACAATCTAGAAGGCACAAGGTCTTGACAGCATGACTAATATTTTTAGTAGCTTCTATTTTAGCGAACAATGAAATACAGATTCAGTTTACAATTATGTCAGTTTTGTGCTTATACGCCTACATACTGAACTCAAAAAAAAAACAACTTTTCTTATTGTAATACAAAAGTGATGTCTGTAGTAAACAAGTGACTGACAGAATTTCCTCCAGCTCTTCTTGTTACTCGTACTCTTTCTAATGTCCTTCATTTTCTCAGTATCATTCCTCCATGCCATCAGCAGGTAGGTTTTCTGGCCAGTGATGGGAAATTTGCCAGATTAGTTGAGTCTTACTGGCATTTGATAAGCCACCTACAGACTTCCCGGTGGGGAACCAGATGGACCACATACCAGGCTCAAAACAAACCACGACACACAGTCGCATTGCCGAGAATGATCCTTTTGCCTCTGGAGTTAGTGTGTCACTTTGAGTAGGTCAGGCTGCAGGTTGAGTGGTGAGCACTTCACAAGCTTTGAGTCACTGTTTTCGTTTCGCTGTGGGCCTTGTCATGTTTCATGTTAATTTTACATGTGAACCCATGTTGCTTTCCAAACTAGAAGAGTTATATATAGAGTCTATCTATCTGCATCTATTAAAAACATGAAAACAGTTATCAACTATTAACCCTCTTCCCATCTGTCTCACCCATTTCCTCCTTGTCGCTGACCTCCCAGCAGCTCCAGTACTCTTTGTCTTTAACAGGGATGTTACGCCGATCTAGGACCTCACAGGACAGCTCTGCTGCTGTCATAGAACCAGGGATCTGAGGGGAGAAGAATCACAGTTACTCCAGAGTTTTTTCTCTCCTCAGCAAGGGCTAAAGTGTGGCTCCATACTAATTCAGCCAAGTAGTTTTCCCCTGCAGCACTTATTGCACACCACATAAGATAAAGTAATATTGTGTCATTTGCTGAAGTGCAGGTCACCTTGACATGTTGCTCTGCTGTGTCCTTCTTTTCCTCCAGGTACACAGTACAGATGAAGTGTCCGCCAGGTTCAGTACTCTGATGTGTCCAGTACACACATGCATACACACACACACACACACACACACACACACACACACACACACACACACACACACACACACACACACACACACACACACACACACACACACACACACAGAAAAGATCAGAAAGAAAAAAACAGCATTAGGATAACAAGTACCAGCATGCATACATCAGATTCCCAAATGCAATACAAGCATTTACACACATGTGTATATAGCGTTAAATAAAGTCTGTGTTACTCACAGGAAACTTTGTGTTGAGCTTCTCTCGCACTTGGATGATAACAGTGATCTCCTCAAGCTGCTTCTTTAGCTGCTGCTCATCCACCTGCAAACAAGTATGCACACATTCATTCACTCATATGGAAACAACTAATCAATCATCAACTGACATATCACTGTAATTAAAGCCTCATGACAAGCTTTAGATCTCTAGCAGAAATTCCCACTGGCATTTCAAACCTCGTCATTTACTCATTGTTGCTGATAAACCAGCCAGAAACTAGAGATCATCGGTTAATTATATTAGAGTTATTGCCACTCGTATGACACTCAACTTGTGTGTTGGGTTAACCTTTCAAGAGTACAAGTGCAAGTACATTTTGAGAATGCCTCCAGGGATTTTACTTTAAGCACTCCCTCTCTTAGTTCCTTCTACTTTTCCCATCTCCTTATCTAATGAATTCTCTGGAAACCAAGAAAGTGCTTTAATAACATAATCGTATTACCACACAAATGACTCCAGTTAAGATTACTTTCTATTTATAAAATTATAATAATACACATTTAAATGCTACTGGAAATAAAACAGGAGTGACTCAAAGTTTTCTATGCATGTTTCAAGCATTGCATGGAGCTTGCAGTCAATGAAAGATGCCATGTTCTTTAACATCTCAACCTTTAAGAGCTGTGGACTGAGTTTCGCACTCTTATCATCCCCCTGTCTGACCTCAAAGATGAGCGTGTAGTGCTGTATGAGGTCCTCTATGGCACGACCCGCAGTGTAGTCCTTCCCATCAGTCTGGAACAGTGTGGGACCGAACACTATGGCCAGGTTATGGAGGTTCATCTGGTTCATCTCAGAGAAACGCTGCACGCTGAAACACATGCAGGGAAAACACATATGGGCATAAACAGACATACACAGAGATGAAAGAGGACTACTATGTGTGTGTGTGTGTGTTACTCACCAATAGAGGTGGTTGATAAGGGCTTGTAGTGTAGCCTTGTTGACATGAGGCAGTCTGTTCAACAGTAGCTGGTACTGGGAGATTTTCATACTTTCATCCTGAATGGCTGGAGTACGAGACAGTGAGGAAGGAAAAGACAAAATAGTGAATACAGAGGGAATGAAGAGATAAAGTATACAGAGAATCAGGATCAAAGAGAGTGTCATGAAGTGTAAAAGAACAAAGGGGAGAGAGGGAGATGAGAGAAGAAATTATCAGTCAAAGGGAGGATGAAGATATAAAAATGTAGACCAATACAGAGATGAGAGAGAAAGAAAGATTCATCGTAGTGCTCTGAAACAAAGGCTATATTTTGCTGACACGCAAACAAGTTCAGGTTTATGTACCGAAAATGGTAAATAAATGTCTATCAAAACATCAACAAGATGACACCTGACACAGAACTGCAGCATCTCTGGCAAACTGATTAGGCAACTGAAATCATTCTGCTTCCATTATATTTCCAGTACTTCTTGATATCAAAACAAAATTTACACAGTTGTTCACCCACGAGACCTCTCCTTATGCTTAAAACCCAGGACATTTATTAACATCCATTGTATTGGAGTGGCAGCAGACACAAATAAAATAAATATTAACTACCACTAGGTGTAAGTGGAAACGTATTCTTTGTGATTTGTGTGAACTGATCCATCCTCAGTCACAGCCTGACTTACCAGCAGTACTGAGCCAGGTACTGCCATCCTCTGACGTGAACAGTCCCTCTCCTAACTCCCTGAAGAAGCGTTTGAGTGTGTTAGAGACGTCGTCCACCTGGTGCTCTCCCTCCCTCAGACGAACACTGCGAGCATCATGACGGAATTTCTCGCACAGTGCGGCCACACGGGAGTTCACACCGCTCTTACGATATATCCCCTCAGAAGTCAAGCCTGGAAAAAATAACATTGATAAGCATATACAGAAAACAAATTGTTGCAAAGAAAGTACATACAGTAACTCTAAGAAAGGATATATTCTTGTTCCTCCAACTTTATATTTATATTTCAAATTAAACAGAAGGATCATATGGTCCAGTATAGATTCAGAAATATCAACTGAACTCAAAAGACTTTAAAAACTCACAGTGTGTAAGCATAAATTACAGGGTATTCCAGCTGAAAACTAAAAGGCTAAAAGGGGGACATTAAGGAGATGGGGTTTTAAGATCAATAACCCATAATAATGCACATTAGAGTTTACTTACATAGACAGCATAGGTAGCTGTTTAATTTTGGGTGTTCTATAATTATGTTCTTATAGATTGTTTTGTAAAATATGGCAAAACTCAGCTGCTTAATTTTTCTGCAAAAGGCTAAAACTTTGAAACATGTTGCCGGTCAGTGATTTCAAAGGCTGTTTAATCAATCATCAGAAAGTCAACTGACTGCTGAAGGCAAAATACGGCCCATCTGCAAAAATGCTGTGGGGGGTTGGGGCCAGAACATCAACATGCTTACAACTGTGTCCACTGTGACTCAGTGACTAAATGACTCAGTGGAAATGATGTCCACTAGAGGGCTCCTGTTCATTAAAATTTTTGTCCTGTTCTTCTGTTAGCTGGTTTTAGTAGCACTGAGTCAAAAAAAAGCCTGTTTCAAACAAGTGTGTCAAATCTCTCAAGTGAAACCAGATTACAATGTAGTTTCCTTCATGACACACAAATCACTTGGACTATATTTTATCATATGGCTCAAAACATCAAATGTCCAGAATAATTCACTATATGTTGTTAACATATCTGAAAACTCCTGCACTTGATCACAACATAAAGGACGATTACGTCAGATGTTGGCATGAAGGCAACAACAGGGACAGTTCTGCCCTGGTTTCCCGGAAAGCTGACCAGAGAGATTAACATTACCAACAGGAAAGTAGAGGATATCAGCATAATGAAGCCTCCCAGAGACACACACAGAGCCCTGTACACAGTTGTGCATGTAGGTGCATACAGTAGATGGAGGGAAATGTAGGAGTGAAAGGATGAAAAGGGAGGGAAATATCAAAGGGAGAGAACAGGGGTTTACAGAAAGGAGAGAGACAATTAGAATGACAGAAGGCAGGTCAGCTGGTGGAGGTGGGAGGAAGACAAAGAATAAGGAGTGAAGGATAAAGAAAAGAATACAAAATAGAGGGAAAGAAAAGCAGCAAGGGGAGAAATGGAGGTGGAACAGAGTTGTTTTGTTGTCTTGCAGTCCGTTGGTCTCTCGCAGAGCCAGATCTCCTGCAATTATAGTCACATGAGGACACACACGCACACAGAAAGTGCCAAGTGTGCGCACACAGTAATGGAAAGAAAGAGTTCAATTACATACAGCAATGTAGGCTGTGAATAAAGACCCATGTGATGTAAATACAGGTGTGTATGTGTGGCAGAGATAGAAGAGCATAAGTTGTATGCATGTATATGTGTGTGTAAGCCTGTGTATGTCAAGACAGTGTGTGATGGAGGAAACGCAGTGACTCTTTAAATGTATTTGTGTCACTGCCTGTGTGAATCTCTGCATGTCTCTCACCACACTGTGTGATGTAGCCGATGCAGCTGTGTACTATAACAGGTATGTCTGTCTCTGTCAGCTGCTGCTGGCTCAGTGTGTCTCCTCCACTCCCTGCTGCCGCCTGGATAGCCGCACACCAGCCGGCGAAGTCCAACTTCCTCTCTCCCTCTATGTACAGAGTTCTAAATAGAGAGAGAGGTTGACAACAACATTCAACACGTGAAGAGATGGAAAATAAGGGATAATAAGGGAAAAAAATGTAGAAAAATTATTGAATAAAGAAGGAACACTTTTGACTGCACACTGTGAAAAGTGGCCTAACACAGTGGGACATTTTTTTCCCTTTAAGCATCACCATTGTAACAAACAATCTGTAATTATTCTCCCCTCTCACCTGCCTCTCTCCACCAGAACCAGCACCTCATTATCTTGTTGAATCGCTGTAATATACAAATACATAGTAATCATATTATTCCAGATAGCCATGCTTTTAAACAAAATAAACCTCACGTTATGTGTTTGCTTCAATGTTTATTCCTGGTATAATGACTGAGCAGAATAAAGTATGTACACAATAAAAGTGCAGTTTGTGTGTGTATCCATGTATTTTTGTTTTTGTGTCTCACTCACAGAGTTCATTCAGCTTGCGGAGGTGGATCTCCTCTCCCTGGCTGTCTGCCAGGTAGGCATGAAGTGTGGAGCCTACCAGAGCAAACCAGCCAACCTTGGATGTTTGTAGGTTCAAGCCATCTTTACACTTCAGTCGCCCAATCCGCACAAAGCTCAACCTCAGTAAAGGTTCTGCAGTGGCTGGGATGAAGCTCTACAAATAAAAAGGGGACATTGTAGCTTTGTAATACATTGCATATGATATATGCAATATAATATATGCAGAAAGCCTCTGCCAATACTAATTAAATTATTAGAAGAAATCTTGTACAAAACTTGGAGTGAGTGGGCCGGGTCACACTGTAGCTACATGTAGCCATAGATATACATCTACACTATCATGCTGGCATTTATGTGTCTTGTGATATTCAGTTAGATATAAGCTGCATGACCTTGATTATAGACGCATCCAATTTTTTTACAATAATCACAGAATTTTGAGTACACACACACACAGACACACACAGACACACACACACACACACACACACACACACACACACACACACACACACACACACACACACACACACACACACACACACACACACACACACACACACACACGCTGCATCTATGTCAGCATAAACATATATACTGGCTCAAAGTTCAACGATCAAAGTAACTCTTGCTTCATTTCACAGCATCATGCAGCTGACAATTATCTCAGCTGTAAGGAGTGCTGTTCTGAAGGAAAATAAGTGACACAGGAAACAAGTCAGCATTAGCTAGCTCTGTCCTGACCACTAGGCAGTATTTCCCGCATTAGAATAGCTGGAACAGCAAACCATCCACTTATCAGAGCTCTCCATTTTCAGAGCAAATACATGAACAATAATTATATAAAATCTTCCTTTTGTAAGGGTCCACGTTTAGAGAAAGTATGAGAATTTGTGAGAATTACACCACAATATGTATTTGGTGGTTACCTTGGCAATAGACTTGACCCATTCCTTGTGGCTATCTGGGTCATCAGTGCCAAACAGATAGAGACGCTCTGACTCTGAGTAGAGCTCAAAGGTATGTTCATACCTGAGGGTTAGAAAGAGACGTTAGGAGGAAGTGTGACATAGGGCGATTAAAAAAAGAAAAAAGGAAGGGAGGAAAATAAGTAATTTGTGTCAAATAGCAGTGTTCATGGATCAGATTGTGTGTATACCCATGTTTCTCAGGAGTGTCGACAGCCAAACACACTATCTCTGAAGCCTTCAGCACTCCGTTCGGGTTCGAGTTCTTGTCGCTCTCATAGTAGCTGAAAGTGCCATCATTCAGCGTGCACCAGCGACGACTGAACTCTACATGGAGGCACAAATTAAGACTTACCAAGGATAAGATTAAGAAGTATAATCATACAAATGGCATCTATAGACACTGTAATTTTGGATGTTTTCTGTATAGTGTTCTTTATCGTGCATAATGTAGTGAGTGTAGTTAAGTGTTAGTTAGTTACCCTCTCTGGCCTTGCGCTCTGTGATAGCTCGCGCCATAGATCCCGTCTTGAACAGGAAGCCATTGTGAGACACACAAGGTGCTGTTGGGTAATGTGATGTGACCCATGGTTCCATTTCTCCGCCCACTTCTAACCGTGGTAGCTCTGCAGGACAAACAAACAAACAAACAAACACACAAACAAACAAAAAAGTTAAATAATCTTCTTGTGCAAAAAAAAAATCATACAGGCTGTCATCTACTAAGAGTCTATGTGGAAAACATTCAAAACGCTCCAAGGTATGACAGAAGAAATGTATGTTTGGTTATGTGACATTTAGATGTCGCATATCATTGATAAACAATTTTATAAAAAACCCTGCTCAACCCTTATGTAAGCATCATTAAAAAGAAAGGTTATATTATGTTATACTGTACTGTACCTGTGTTGAGATTGTGGCTAATTAACTCTGCCTGTAAAGGTTGTGAGTGTGCGTTGGCCAGGGAGAGAGGGGTGGGCCAACTCGCCATACCAGTTGAACAATTTACATCTGCACCGCAGAAAATCAGGCTTAATGTCTCCAGAACATCACTGCACTGCACATTTATACATAGAGCCTTGGGAGAAGAAGAGAAGAAGAGAAAATCAAAACACAAAGGCACACATTATAAGAATACTATTTTGATAGTATAACAATAGTGTTACAAATACTATTAAAACCAGTCTGGTTAGAAGGGAAAATCAATGGGAAAGGGAGACACTGAAATGAGACAGATGGGAGGGAGAGAAATGAAAGAAAAACAGATAAAATAAAGTAAGAAAGAATAATACTAAACTGATAATAAACTCATGACTTTTGTACTATGGTCCTGCAGCTACTTTAATCATGTGTTGTGATCCTCTGTCAGCTATGTTTTAAAAGGAAACAGTTGAGGTCAAACTCAGTGTGTCTGTGTAGGCAGGCATTAAAACCTGCAGCAGACCCTCTCCTGATCCAGAACCACCAACAGTATAGTGAGTTTTCTGATTGCTTCAGATGGCCTAGTACCTGTCAACGCTGCTATGTAAGTGGAAATGATTGCAGTGTCTTCTCTGTTATTGTTTTGTCAATGAAAAACTCAAGTAATTATTTTGGGATTTATAGGATCCGTGGCGCTTATTATTATGATGAAACTACCAACATAGTGTTCTCAATTGTTTTAAGTCTTGTGCCAAGTGTTGAGCAGTCTCTGAATCCACTCTATGCACATTTAATAACAAAGCAACCTGGAGCCAATTTATAGTGATTAGTCTGTAAGCCCCCATGAACCTTTTGCTTAATTTCAGAGGAGAGCTGGTGAAATGAAAACTGATCTAAGAGTAAAGGTAAAGCTAACTCATCTGAGAAACTTCTGCTACTCCTTAGGCAGGGCTGCACAATTATTTGTAGATAGATTTTATTAATTCTTATGCAATTCAGTGTTGCTGAAGTGTTACATTTACCGTTAAAGTGGACTAATTACAGCCTTTGAATGTGCAACATGAAGCCATTTGACCAAAAACACAAAGTTAAAATAGATACACACACATTAGGTGGGAAATAAAAAAAAAAGTATGTATATCTTTTGGAAAAACAGAAAAACAATAATTTGTTGGAAGTTAAAAATAAACATATAAACGTCAAAACATAAAAAGAGGAAGATCTTCCCACATTCAGAGCCCAAATTATTTGGAGATAACCAGGTTTTAAACCCAATGATGACAAACAAATACAGATTTCTGAACTGGACAACACTTAGAGCACAACCAAAGATAAAACTACAGTGTAGTTTTACCTTAAAGTAATAAAAAAAACACATTTTGTCCAAATGTTGTAAACTCAAATGTAAAGAAAGAGGAAGGAGAGTGAGGAGGGAATAGGAAAGAAGAATGTTATGACTGAGAAAAGGAGGATGTAGTGTTGTTACAGCTGAGGAACTCAGACTCATGCAATTACACACACACACACACACACACACACACACACACACACACACACACACACACACACACACACACACACACACACACACACACACACACACACACACACACACACACACACACACACACACACACACAGTAAGTCTGTTAAAACCAATAAGCTCTTTTGGATCTGATTGAGAAATTCCACAGCACTCTGTTACACATACAGACAGAACCCCTCCTCTATTTAAGCACTGTTGAGCTTCTACACACACATACAGACTAACAAACCAATTAACAAAGATTAAAATTGCACAAGAGACCCATACATACACACATTTCTCTGTCACACAGACCACTGAAATCATCTGAACAAAAAGCTTGTAGTCAGCCATCTGGAGTGGAACACATGCACATGAACACTCCAATAATCTCATCATATGGATCACATGACGATAGAGCTGGTATATGAGGCTTGGTAATGTTATTTCAAGCTGCACTCTAGGCACTTCAATGGCTGCAACAGTCTGTCGTAGTTTTCACTAGTTTCTTTTTATTTATAGATGGAACAATTTATATTGCCATTTTCAAGTAGACCTGACTAAATATTTTATGTGTGAAAGAGCATTTAAATTTAAATAAAACATTTTTTTTTTTTAAATTCACATTAAAGGTCCGGTGTGTAAAATTTAGGAGGATCTATTGGCAGAATGGAATGTAATATGCATAACTATGTTTTCATTAGTATATAATCCCCTAAAAATAAGGAGGGTTAATATAAGACACACAGTGGTGCTTTAACAGAAGTAGATGCAGTACAGTGAGTGACATCTGTCATCAAGGTTGAAGAAGAAATACAAGTCCAACTAGGGTAAAGGGGAACAGTAGAAGGAGGTGAAAGAGTTCAAAAGATTTAAGTCAGTCTGAATACCTACAATATGAAAGAACAGTAGGAAAAGTACAGCAGCATCTTGGAAAACTGGATCAATGGAAAACCATGTGTCCGTGTCAGTCTCTGGAGTGGGTTTGATTGACATTTTGTATCTTCACCTTTTTCTACTCGGATCTGGCGATTTTCTTGTTCTCTTTGCCTGGGAAACAATTCATTCTATGTCTCCTGTATTCCTCCACTATTTTTATGTAAGTCTTCTCACCACAATAATAAAATAAATAATAAAGTTAACTAATGTTGTTCTCTGGGCTTTTCACTATATATGAATTGAAGTCAGAAAGATTTAATACAGCAACATAGTTGGACAAACTGTACACTACAAACAAAAACACAGGTTTAGCCTGCTCTTCATCACTGGGGCTCTGAGAGAAAATGGCTGCCCATTTGCTGACTCCTATCTGATCCACTTTAACCATCACACTGACATGACCATCTTGTGTATCTGTTCTGGCTGAAGCTACAAGCCAGAAAGGTCAATACTTGAGATCGATCCCTGCATGATAACATTAGCCACAGTGCCAGGCCAAGCCATATCATGATATACTGTAATTTGACCACAGGCACATTGCAGTTCAGAAACAGTACCTTGCTACAAACAAGTACAGATCAGCGCACTGTGACGTTTTGTGTTGATACATTCCTTAGCCTAATGACTGTGTGCTCCAGTAAAAATGAACAAAATCAACCCTCTGTCCCATGTGGACATACATGTGAAAGCTATGTAGGTCAGTGTCCTGTAATGTATCAATAGCCAACCGTGTGCCTTCTGATCAAGGGAAGTGAACCAATCAGAACGAAGTAAAATGAGGAAATGGGTTTGAGTGTTTGAAGACCTCACGCCCTCCAACATCTGCTGCCTATGAAACAGGGAGTAATGTAATAACACACACACAAAGAGAGAGAGGAGAAGGGAATTCAAGAATCTTTCCCAATTTCCCCAGAGAGAGAGAGAAAGAGAGAGAGGGAGGGAGAGAGAGAGAGAGAGAGAGAGAGAGAGAGAGAGAGAGAGAGAGAGAGAGAGAGAGAGAGAGAGAGAGACAGAGAAAGATTTTATCTGGGTGTGTCTAAAATCACAGGCCTCCATCTGGCCTCTGCAGTTATATGGCACAGAATTGGAGGAAAAGAAAGAGATGAAGGGCACAGAAGAAAGAAAAATATTGTGAAAGGAAGATGAAAGCATTGCATTGAGGCACATTAATCAGAGACTGATTGTACTTGGCTACAAACTCAAAATTATACACTGGGACCCCCCCTAAGAACAGACACAAAGACACAAACGCAGCCGACTCTGCTTTGTCCATTTGACCATATACTGAACATGCAACCAAAGATACACCCACATTTATATATGTGTGTACACACGTCCATATATTAAATCCAGATGAGAAAGAGCAGTTACCCACATATGTTCCATCATTACCTCACCAGGGACAGTTTACAGAGAGAGAGGGAGATGGAGAAGGAGGTGTAAGTGAAAATTCAGACTCATTAAGATGGGGGAGAAGAATGAATATGACGTGAAGGGAACAAAAATACAAACACGCATAAAAAGACAGACAAAGATGACAGTGGGAAAAAAAAACACTGGGAAACAGAAAAGCATCATATCCCATCTCCCTGCACAATTGAAAAAAGATTTATGACTTAAAATCCAACAGTGTGAATAAGTAAATGAGAGGGTTGGCAAAAGGCAGAAGGATGAGACAAAAGAATGAGGAACAGCAGGGAATTTAATAGAAAGAAAGGAAAGTTGGAGCTTTTCTTCTGTGAAAGCAAGCCACTTTCCAAAACTATAAAAGCCCAACAACAAGCCCATAAAGAGTTTTTACAACTGACTCTCTATGTCAGTCTGTTCTAATAAGTACAAATAACATGCTGATTGTCACAAGCACACAGTCAACATAGACACAACAAACAAGCTCAAGAACACTCGCACCAGTCTTTGGTAGTGGTTGTCCAGGTGGGATGATATTAACTAACTTTTTATACTCATTGCCTTGTTGTAACAAATGCAACAAAGACACATGACAATAGTTTCACCTGCGATTACTGTCCCAAAATCAAATTTGGCACACATACTCTCAAACTGTCAAAACTTCTCTCAGTGTTTAAAGAACCCGATGCCATACTGAACATTTCTCTGTCAAACATATTTCTATGCTCCACCCAGTGCTCTTTGGCTTCTTTGCTCTCTCACAAACACCATAAAGGAAACCACCAAACATTTCAACACAGCATTTCAAGCATGTCAATTCAACTGAAAATGTTTCAAACATCAGTGTAATGTTTAATCATTCTTAACACACTACAGATAAATGTCTTCAAAAAAAAGAAGAAGTTGAGGTTCCCTGAAAAATCGCTCAAACACACATTATGAAAAACATGAACCCTATGTTCTTACAAACAGATATGTAACCCACTTAATGAATGAAAGACTGTTGAAAACATCAATAGCTGACTACCTAGTGTAAAAGAGGACAAAAGGCAAAGAGAGAGGGGAAACAAAACAGGAGGGGACAGAGTGAGTGAGAGTGAGTGAGACAATGATGTCCATTGACAGAGGTGAGCCTTCATCTAACTCTGAGAACACATGGACACACTCACAAGCACAGAGAAAGAGAGCAACGCAGACAAAAAATACACAAAAAGGCACACAAACATGCCTACACACCCACATTAATATGCATGTTAACGTATCTCAGCCCACTCCAGTGAAAAACATACAGACACACAATAACTCTAATGTGCTCACTAACATAGAGCTACAGTGCAGCTGTCCTTACAGTCCCAAGACAAAACTATGCCCCATAAACACGCTCAAATATGTGTTTGTTCAACTGCACTGAATCCACATACTGTCAGAGATCCAAAGTCCGTTGACACACATTCCTAAACTCACACTAACCTACCTTCATTAAAACACACATTCACACTCACATTCTTTACAGACATAATTTACAAGAACACAGAGATACAGTCACACAACACACTTTCACTACCCTCTCATACAGCTCACCAGCACACACAACCTTACCTGTACATTTTCAGTTCCTTTCAATCACTCCTATGTTTGAATGTTAGTCAAACACAGACACGCACACAAAGCTGCAAATTACAAAAACTAAATCTAGTTTGTGGTGCTTTAGTCTGGCAGAAAGTTGAGGGAATGCTACCCACTTACAAATAAGAAAATGAGCCAGGAGTGAAGAGATCAACTTTCTTCAGCAGTCCCAGCCAAACAATGAGGAGGAGAGGAGGAGAAGCGAGGGGGAGGCGGAGTTACAGCACATTCCAGCTAAAGCAGTGAGTAATGATGTCACATTCAGAAAAAAAAGAAAAACAAAGAAGAAAGGAAATCGAGAAGTGGGGATAAAAAGCCAGGACTGGATAAACAAACACCTGAATGTGGCCCAAGACACTCTTGCACACCAACTTAGGTTTTTCTCTCCTCCATTCAGACTCATATACACACATACACTGCCTTACTGTCAAATGCCTTTTCACATAACTGCAAGGTTAACAGAAACACATTGCAGAGTCAATTATTTTTCAAGACACACCCAAGTGGAAAGAGTAGCAATGCAGAGCTGAAGAACTTTAAGTATTTGGTGACAGAGAAGAGAAGACAGAGAAGAACAGGTAGATCAGCAATCATCAGTAAATATTTGTTTCAAATGACGGGAAGTAGTTCAAAATCCAGAGAGATCACATTCTTAAGAGACAGCCCAAGAGAGTAAACAGTAACAGGAAAAACAGATAGCTATCATGGAGGAGGAATGAATGAAGAAGGGAGGACCAGCAGCTCAACAAAAATGGTTTTAAATCAAAACAAACAGTGATTGGTGTGTGTGAGACATTAAGAAAACTTCCTTTATCTCCCTCTGCACATCCCAAACACAGTGACACACACACACACACACAGATAAGATTGAACGCTTGAGGGAAGAAAAACAGAACTCACAGTCAGGTGCTAAATGTGACTCACTCACCCACTCAGTGTCTGTGAGCAGTGCACATTGTTTGTGGTAAGTGGGTTAAGCAGCTAATGAGTGACCAAGCCGCGTCTGAAATACTATGACATTTACTGCACACAGTGGAGCACAGCAAAGGCACAATATATAATCCTCCGTTCTAAAATGTCCTGCTTCTGACTTTTACGAACCAGCTTCATCATCTCAAGAGGGCACAGGTATATATGTTTTCTGCCCTCCACTGACAATGACACAAGGACAGATAACCTGGTTGTCCATCTTGAAGTCTCAGTACAGTCACTCCACTTTGAGCCAGTTATCTAGATTATTGCAGTTGGCAGACTCTGCTTAAAACACTGGACTTCATCAGGAATTTGGCCAGCTTTTCTGATCTAGGAAACTGCATTTCAGTCCAACAGTGAGTTCAAATCAGTTCCTCGAATGCCCCACTTCGGGGTAAAGTGACAAATGTAGCTTGTCTTAGTCAACTAGCTGGGAAAGGAGAAAAAAACATCAACCAGTGAAAGAGTCAATTGTAGACTGGCTACTTTATTGTCACTGATTGGAGAGGTGTGTGACAACCTAATATATACTAGATAGATAGATAGATAGATAGATAGATAGATAGATAGATAGATAGATAGATAGATAGATAGATAGATAGATAGATAGATAGATAGATAGATAGATAGATAGATAGATAGATAGATAGATAGATAGATAGATAGATAGAGATACTTTATTTATCCCGAGGGAAATTCAAGATACTGTCAATGGTGACAACATATTTGCTATTTCAGACATTTAAGGTGAGCATGCTGAGTGCTTTCACATTTACTTGATAATGATTAAATGCTCTCCTTTATTAGATTCCAAAAAGTGCATTTACATCAAGGGTCTCACTTCTTTTTTATGTTACTTTTAACTGGCTCCATAGAAAAAGTCTGTTTTGTTGTCTTTCTGTCAGTCAATCACTCTTAACAGGTCAGTACAAGAACGAACACTCAAAGGACCTAAAAATACACAATATATGGTCACTTCTTTGTTCTTGGAATCTGGGTCATGGTCTGAGTAGTAAGCAAGCAGATGTACTGTATATGCCTGTGTGTATATGCCTGTGCACACACACACACACACACACACACACACACACACACACACACACACACACACACACACACACACACACACACACACACACACACACACACACACACACACACACACACACACACACACACACACACACACACTCTCCAGTCACAACTAAGCCTACGACCCTCTATGAAGTTATGCACACAGCTGCTACAGAAAAGTTTAAGAGAGCCGGAGTATTGTGAGGCAAAGGGAACGGTCTCCAACAAATGAATGAAGTCAGCATGATGGGTAAAAAAAGACAGCTTAGTCATAGTGGGTTGCTAAACCAACCACCTCAACTGCTATAAATCCTCCCTGTGTACGAAAGCCTTTCTTTCCCAAGGTATGTTGACTAACTCTGACTCTGAAGCAAACAATCAAAGCAACTTACATTGTTGAGCTCTCTCTGGTTTCCGTACAGAGGGTGGTACTTCCTGTATTTGCCCTGGCGGTATTTGTTGGTGATGAAGCGTCGCCTCTCTTCGCTGCAGCTAGAGGGTGTCAAAGCTTCACTTGGCGGGATGTTAGCTGCCCAGAAACTGTTTACCCGCTCGTTGCCTAGCAACAGGAACACCTAAATCCCAGGTGGGGTTTAGGAGAAGTTTCCACATTAAGAAGGGTAGGAAGCATGTGTGATAATATACAGTGTTTATCATGTATATGTGTACATTTTTAGTATTATTATTTTTATTGCATTATATTGGATTAAGTTGCATTAAGTTTTTAATAGTCTCTACCCTCCTGTGTGTAAATTAAAACAATGCAGCCCATTACAACCACAACTACTGCCTTTAGTTGAATCCAAATCCCTGACACAGTGTCAACAAAACATTCTAAGCTTCACTAAGATTAGCTGCACGGCTATTGTATAAGACTGTACTACATAACATCTCTGTCTGGCTTAAAGCAACTAAATGAATGCCATGACATAAACAAATGTCATGAATAAGTAGCTAAGTTAAATATTGTATGATCTTGACATGTCATTTAATCTGTATAAAAAAAACAATGACCAACAACCAGGTCTCATAAGCCTTTAGGTAGATTGTGTGTATGTGTGTGTGTACCTGTAAAAGCTCCTCTGTCCAGACTTTTCTGTCCATCTTCAGACTACGAACCTTTGAGATGCTAGGACCCAGTCCTCTGTGCTGTCCTGAAACACGCACACACACATTTTGAAGACAAATTGCATCCTGTGTACCTTTGACCGTGTAACAATACTGTGAAATTCTAGAGCTTAGCCACAACCACAAGAGGCGAATAAATATTTGACCTATGATCCATATACCTGTGTTTTATAACACACAGCAAATATATAAATAAATCAACAAATCCCCAGTATGATTCTCAACACATTTTGAAGACCTGAATGAATATGTAAATCATCAAAAACAGACTGACAACAATGTCAAACATTGTTCAATGTTATTTGCAAAAAAACACAAACATAGGTAAACAAAAATACGGATGAATCCAAACCACACACACAAACCTGCGCATCGTTTGCAGACCACCACACACAAGTTGATGGCAGCCCATTCCGGCTTGGGAGCCCCGCAGTCGGCACAGAAACTGTTGCTAGGCTCCGCCCAGATCCGCTCTGCCACCTCGCTATTCGACAAGGCCTCACCTATAGCATCCCGCATGGCATCCACCCATTGCTCTCGCAGCTGCTCCGACTCTGCGATGAAACTGCGCAGAGACACAAACACACGGCCGAGTGTCAACGCTGACATGATGGTGTTGATAACAACTACCAAGTGACAGAAATAAAAAGCCTGTTTGCCCTGTGTGGTTCTGTGTGTGTGTGTGTGTGTGTGTGTGTGTGTGTGTGTGTGTGTGTGTGTGTGTGTGTGTGTGTGTGAGAGAGTTTTTCCTTATGCTCATGAGCCCACTGAGTACTGACTCTTGCTCTGCTCTTGTTTTGCTAAATATACTTGAGTCCAAGACTGGAAACTATACAAACATGTACACACATAGACACACATAGACAGATTTGTGGCTTGACACAGTCTCGCATGTCTGAATCCTTCCTCTTCTCATCCATCTCACAACACGTTGGTCACTCTGTCCCACACGTACAGACACTTCTCAAACGACTAGAGTTGCAAAAATGCACACTTACAGCGAGACACACACTGACACACAGTCCAACTCTTATACAAATACACAAGTCTTTTCAGATTTCCCCATCCTGTCAAGCTGAGCTCTTGCACTGCAGGCTGTGCACTGTCAGCCAAAAGACCACACACACCACACCAACACATACACACACACACACACACACACACACACACACACACACACACACACACACACACACACACACACACACACACACACACACACACACACACACACACAAAGGGCTTTTCACATTCTCAAAAGATGTCCAGCTGAGGACTCTGAGGATAGTTGGACGATGGGAGTTCTCAGTAAAACAACATGATCTAGTTTCCCATAAGTATCCCAGCACCAAAACCAACTGAGTCAGACAATGAGTGATGATTATGTTTGCACTTATGGGAAAACTTAAACAACCAGACTATGTACAGTGCATACAATGTATGCATGTACACAAGATACTTATAGAAGATACACAGACAAAGCACACACGTAAGTCAATAGTTTAAGTTTACTATACACACATAGCAAAGAGAGTCTGTATGTTGCATTTTTGTGTACATGCAGTACCTGAATATGCGGTAAGGTGTAGTAAGATCAAAGCTCCGACGATCTGTGTCTTTAACATTTCCTACATTCATCTCGATGGATGTGATACCCACACCTATACGATAGTCCTGGAGGAAAGAGAGTACAAATTTAACCTTACATTTAGATGATATTCGATTTGACTTTTGACTTGTATAACACTGTGAAATTAAACATTTTCAGAATGTGCAGAAAAAGCTAAAAACAGAAATGGCAGAATGATACATAATATTTTTTTTCTGTGTCACTTATGGATCATATATTGAGTTTTAATCACTCAACATAACTAGTTTTTGGTGCAGTTTTCATTATTTAACACTCAGATTTCTTCTGTATACTATTTTGCAAAATAAAGACTAAAAAATAAGTAGTTATCTAATATATATTTCTATATTGATTGACTGCTCATCTGCAATCACACACAGAAGATCCTTACCTCACTGTTTTTGTAGAGGAAGACTTTATCTGAGGCGACAACAGTATAAAGTTTTGAACGTAAGCCTCTGAGCTCCAGACAGCCCTGATAGTCTGGGGTCAAAGGAGAGCTAGGACTCATGGTGTTGCGCGGCTGGCGCCCCCTGGTGCAGTCCTGCAGTACAGTCACCCAGTCGTTTCTCTCGACTGTATGGACGTGCCAACACATATATGAATAAACATGTTTAGCAAGAAATGCATGGATAAATACATGTGAATCAATATACATTCACATTTGTGTATATATAAAACATATGCAGGTATGACATATTGCAAACAGTAAGAGACATTATTTCTTTATGTATGCACACACAGAGATGACCAGAGAAAATAGACAGACCTTCACTTTCAGCCCTGAAGATAAATGTTCGATTGCTTGTGACCACCTCAAACTTCAGCTCTCCCACACTGGTCACATTAGTGATGAAAGCAGTAGAGATGATGCCCTTAGAATACACCTCCTGCAACACACCACACACACAGAAATAATGACTCTGTTTAACAGATCCATATCTAACATATATGCAGGAAGTGTGAGCGGATTTGGCAATCCACACAGAAAGCAAGGAAATACAATCTATAAATAAATCAATCAGTCATCATCAGTAATAAAAAAAATAAAAAACAAATTTTTTGCTGTCAGTCAGCGTGGTGATTTGGCCGGCTGCAGTCCTTTCAAGAGCTGACAGATGGTTCTGATGACCGTGATGGCCGAACATAAGTCGGGGTTGGTGTGGACTGAACAGAGTGGATGAGTCAGTAAGCGCCTGCCTACTGCTCACGTCTTGCTTTTGATGTAGAGTTCCAGTAATAATAGTGACTAATGTGATGGAGTTATTGTTGTTTGTTGTTACCTTGTCATTATCAAAGTATCTCAGGTAGTCAGCGTCCAGCTTTACCCATCGTCTCTGATAATAAAGGGCCCTGCGTACGAGAACACACACACACAAACACATTCGAAGTGTGAAGCACATACAAGGTTTTGCATTGTAAAACTGGGTAGTATTTTGATGTGTTTTTTAAGTATAACATTTTTTATGTTTTATGTTTCATTGTAACTATTAATAGTGAGCCTAATACTTAATGGCGAGCAAGTGTATAATTTTAAAAGTAATTTTGTGAATAACAGAATGAAAGGCATAAAAAAATGCTATGTTGTATTTGTTGAGGTATAAAAACAGCCCTAAGAATCTCACAATGAAACCCTACCTTGATCTTACGTATGTCAGGTACACAAGCAGGCATATGAGTATTGGTTGATGCCCTTTTTAGCAGAACAGAATGTGTGCTTATGTGTTGGCATCCATACCCCTGAGGTGGATTCTTGTCCAGCCAGCCCATCTTGATGACAGCATCCAGCTGAGAGCTGTCTTCTTTAGAGGCTGATGACAGTCTGCCAGAGTTTGGCAGGTAGACACTGCCTTGGAGGTTGCTAATGCTCCCATCCTGCCATAGGGTAGGCCTTATGTGCACAGAAATAAGCACACACAGACACACAAAGACATAGTAAACTATATTTCCAGAAATAAACCTGAAATTAATGTATGATAACAATCTTGTATAAATTCTTTCTAAACAAATCGTTTAATCTCAGTTAAATGTAATTGCCATTTAATTGAACTTTATCAGCCAGGAAACAAACAAGCATACATTTTGTGTCCCCATGGAAACCAAAGGCGTACACGTTTCTGTAGGACACCAATAATAAGTTTCTGTTTATGATAGATTTCATCTAACTGGTGTGTTGTAGTTTAGTTTGGTTTGGACCTGTGCACTCCATTTTCACAGTTTTATATTACAGTTACACAACAGCTGGTATTAATACAATACACATTAAAAAAGAATCACTGGTAAAACATTTTTGCTGAGGTCTGCGCCAGTTCAATGGCTGAGCTACAAAGTGTTCTTAAGGTGCACACCTTTAGTTATCCTTTTTCACTTGCTTCTGTCTCGCAGTTGTTGTACATTGCAGAATGTGGTCTCTGCAGTGAGTAGTTGGTATTTGTGCAATATTTAACCTATTGTTTATCTATATTGTGCCATTTCAGGTAAGAACCATTACGTCTCCTCGTGCTCCAAAGACAATGACCACACACACCTGTGTATATTTATTACTTGATTGTGTGACGTGACCAATAACCAACATGTTTCTGCCCCATTGTGACGTGGCATATTAGTATCCAAACAATATAAACTACTATTTCAAAAACAAACCAAAAAACACCTTAGTTTGCTCTAGCATTAGGATTTGCAGAGTTGGTTACATTCACAATTAGTTTGCCAGGGCAAAATCAGTGAGTGCTTTAAGGCTCTGAACTTTCTAAACCTTAACATGCCAGGTAGAATATATAAATACCACTGTTGAAAAAGTACTATCATGCTCCTGTGTATGGAGATTTAATCGTGGATGAAATAGACTTGGCAGTCTTGACTCTGACAGTCAAAGATGTGGAGCGTGGGTGGAGCAGGGGCGGACTGAATAAAGCCTGATTACTGAAAATAGCCACCTGTGACGGTACCTACTTGTCACTCACAGCGGCTTTGGCCTTAATTATGCATAACTTTAAGCCTTGATATAATTTATGTGTAAAAAAAAAAATCACCCATATAAGGGAAATTTAGCTTAGAGACCAAAATTACATTTTGTACCAGGCTGTAAACATGCTTATTTCTGCTATAAATTTGGGACTTATGGAGATTCACTCAATTCCGTAGCAGGCCTCAAGTGGCCGTTTGAGGAACTGCAGTTTTTGTTACCAGGTTGCTGCTTGAATGTGACAGGATCAAGCATGTCTCAATTCACCCTTTGTCACTCTTTCAAGCTCTCAAACACTTTCATAATACCATTCTACCATTCTACACTGAACAATGACAACACTGTCAAAACATCCAAACCGCTCAGTCTAATAGTCACGCCTATACACTAAATTATACTAGCAAGACAGATCATTATATTCACAACCTTTTGGCACAGACACTTCAAGCATAAGTTATACTTAAACACAAAGTTAATGTCGAATGAGCAAACAAAGCCTGAGAGCAATTCTGGTGGGTAAATCTATTTATGGTGGTTATTTGTTGCCTATTAGATAGGCTAGTTTGTTTGTGTGTTGATGCATGACTCACTCATCATCATCCAACATCTCATCGTCGCTGCACAAAGAATTGTATCGTTTCTTTGGCTGTCCGGGCACTTGCAGTGACATATCCTATTGGAGGACAGAGCCGTCATTCACATTGTGAAAGATGAGAAGAGGAAGAATCGTGTGAAAAAAAAAAAGAGGAAACATTCTCACTTACCGTGTCTGGTGCGTTCATTCGAAGACCACTGGGGACAAACAAATCTGGATCCTCGTATTCATCAGAATTATCATTGAGTGAATTCAACCCTGAGGGAGGGAACAGAAGTAGAGGTTGTACAGCTTTAGTTGGCTTTAAGTCTGTTTGCAGGGAAACAAAAAGAACATACACAATATAATGATGTCCTATCAAGACAAGAGGGAAATATTCAACTATTTATTTCTATAAAATTCTTCCCAGAATTTAACAAACTTCAAACAATCTGTACTAACACGCAATCATATTTGGACAAGCCTCAATTAACCATAATGCAACACTCAGCTATTATACAAGACATATTTCCATCGTTACAAGTGGTTGATAACAGCACTGATTATACCAGTTACTCAAGTTATCCGCTTAGGGTTTAGAGTGTTAGCTGCGTTAATCTATGTTTGTGTACAAAAACTAAATGGTCTGAGACGAACAGCTGAGAGTGTTACTATGCATATAACAGTCAGTCTGGTAGGACTCTCTCTCTCTCTCTCTCTCTCTCTCTCTCTCTCTCTCTCTCTCTCTCTCTCTCTCTCCGAACTAGCCTGTCAGGTTGAACAACTAAATGACACATATTAGTCATAGTCATATTCCCTCCAGCATATGAGATTAAGTAAACAATATCAAGTTGAAACATTCAGTCCAAAATACTTTGAACAAACATAACTTGCACAGAGGCTTTTTCTATTAACCAACCTGTGGCCCTTTGCTGTGTCATTCCCTCTCTCTCCCCCCTTTCCTGTCACTCTTCAGCTGTGACTATCAAGTAAGGGCAATAAAAGCCCAAAATAAATAAATATATTTTAAAAAACACCTCAATCATCTATGTGAAACATAACTTTTAAACTGCCCAGGTGGTACTACATGGGTTCAAATATATTTAGACTTGAAACTTGAAACGCCAGCCTCAAGTGGGCCTCAAAACTGTAATACCTGTTCTATAATGCCAGCTGATCTGACTGAATTAAACCTGGTTTACTAAATGCACACTCATGATCTTAAAACAGAGATCTGAGACATCAAGCATAGATCACACCAACTCACAGAGGAGATCAGGCATGTAAAGAGAAAGCTGCAGTGTTCGTGACCACACAGCGAGTCTTATTTTCAGGTGATTATACATAAAGAACAAAATACCTCTGACAATAGATCCTCCAGTTACACACTGGACCTTTTAACTACTTTTTTTACAGACACAGTCCGTTTCATTTCTTTAATTTTCATACATGACATTTGTGACATGAGTGAAAATGCTACTTTCACTATGAAGCTACAGCCATGGATCAGAATAACCTATTCGCTCATGTAAAAGTAGCCTGAAGCAAGATATATTTGTACGCACTTGTGTTGAGTGTGTGACTGTTATATAAATCGTTTAAAGTCTGAGTTCTACATTTTAGTTAAACAATAACTGCGGCCCTAATGTCAAATTGTGACAAATCTGACACACTGCAGTTTGACTGTAACTCACTGTTTGTTCACAGCAGTAAAGAAGGACAGCAGAGGAGGTGCTTTGGAGATACCACTGGGTTTTCATCTGGTGGGCAGACTTTATAACTGGTTAAGCTTCAAGTGGAACTAAGCTTGAAAATTAGCCAGACTGGAAGCAGGCTAATATGACGTTTCCATGGTAACTAGTCTTATTTAAAACTGCTTTACAGAAATTAATTTGGTGAAATGAAGCCTAATTTACCTGGATAAACTTGCATTAACTGGTTATCTCGCTTCAGGAAACACCAGTAGCAGAAGGAAACATTGCAGGTTTCGAAATGATTCACAATTTTTTTTTACCAGCTGGACTTGAAAAAAAGACATTCAGTGTGTTCGGTTTATGGACACAAACAACATGTTTTCTGAGAAACAGTGGATATAACGAAAACTACAATACAAACTACATCTGGTTTAATCCTCACTCAAGTCCTTCTGCTGTCTAAATGGATCAAGTGCGATACATAGCAGTCTTTCCTGCATATACTGAATGTAGGTTCCTGTTACATTTCATCCTGTGCTGAATGTGTTAGATATTTCAGCATCATTTAAAAGGTCCACTGTGTAATATTAATGAATATATATTGGCAAAAATGGAATCTAATATTCAAAGCTATGTGTTTATCAGTGCATAATCACCTGAAAATATGTTTTTGTTACCTTAGAATTAACCGTTTTATCTATAGACACCGCGGCTCACCCCCCGTGGAGGCCACCATGTCGAAGTGCCATGTTTCTACAGTTGTCCAGAAGGGACAAACCTAGACTCTAGATAGGGCCATTCATATCTTTCTCTCTCGTGACCAGTAAGGGAAGATTAAACGAGTGAGTTGCAATCTGAAACTACAAATTACACTGCCAGATACCACTAAATACACACTGGACCTTTAATGCAGAACTTGAGCAATGTCTATTTTTGTACAGTTCATAGTGTTGTGGTATTGCCTATTTCTATAATAAAAGAATACATTAATATAATAAGTTTTATATGCTGATCATAATACTCACGGGGAGGTTGGGAGACCCTCTTGGAGGGCAGAGCCGGCTGAGTGTCAAGTTGAGTTGTCTGTTGTGTGTTTTCGACAGTTTGTGGTATCCTGATGCGAGGTGGGACCTGTGGAGTTTGGTCTTTCTGCATCTCATCAGCAGTTGTCTTAGTGGGAGAGGGGCTGGGGGATAAAGGGGTACAAGACAAGTCAATAGAGGTTTGGAGAGTAGGAGATGAGTCCTCGGACACAGAGGTAATCTGAGACCGGGTAAAAATTCCACAAAGACGGCTGATTCTATACATCCTCTGTTGGGAAGAAAGCCCTTCTCCCTTTCTCCCCTCAGGTCTTGTCTTTTCTCATTCCATAGTAAAAACTACAAAAATAACAGCATTTGAGATTTTACTACGCGCACCTAATGCAAAAATTAAAAAAATAAAAATCTGGTAGGCAACAAAGTTACACAGAGCTCTCACAGGAAATGCATGAAGAAAAAGAAAAGAAAACCACTCAGGTAACAATTCCAGTTGCCTGATTCAGTCCACATTACTGACTGCTGCTCTGGAGCCGCAGTCTTCTTCAGTGGCACGAGAAGTGATCCCAGAGCTGTGGCAATACAGTGTCCCTTCGCTCTGCTTATGACTGCCTCGTTTTCCTTCACTACTTCTGGTGTAAGCAACAAGTCTGAACCTGCCTCATCCTGCAGGATCTCCATGTAAACTCAGCATACCTCTGGATCCCCCCCACAAACACACACAAACACAGTATGTATGTGAGCATTAGAGATGTGCTGGTTTACCGATTGTACATGTACTGCGGTGATTGGAGAAACATTCTCATCGTAACAATACCACCAACAATTTCTATTACTGTCATTATCATGATTACCGCTGTTTCAGATGGCACCATAAACACTTTATTGGCAGGTTTGTTTGACCTTTTTACTAGTCAAACAGCAGATGAGGTAACAATACACTCAACTCACAATTTGATACATTTTACAATACTGGGTTCACAATATGATTTTTTAACTAAATAAAATTTAAGACACATGACTTTAATCCTCAGACCATATTTCGTCTTATATTTTCATTATCGAATTAGAATCCTTTTTTATAAACTGTGCAAGACAATGCATATTTGCTTTTTTTTTATAAACGTGAAACTGATGTCTTTGACCCTTGATACAGTTTTTATCAATATGAACTTTCTGGCAATATATCTTTACATTCAAACAGCCACAGCTGCCACAGCAGGACCAGGAAACCAGGCTCCTCGTCTGCCCAGCCCTACCTCTAGCTACTCTGGCCATTACTTGGCCTTTTTATCTCTAGTGTGCGTTCAGGCATGGACTCACATTAAATGCACACATAGTGACACGCATATCTACCCATCCTTTCATTTTGCGACGCTTCTTCAATGGTGTTAGTGTTAGTGTTAGTATTAGTATTCGTACCTCTCCCTAGCTACTTCCTCTAGCTCTTCCTGAGTGATCCCAAGCTGTTTCAGGGCCACAATGGATGTATATAATGCATGCAGGGAATTGGGAGATGGTCTCCCACAGCATCTTACCCTCACTATTCTACAATACCTCAGGATTTTTAACTCCTCCACTTGTTCCCACTACCACTCATGTAGTGCAATTGTAATATTGGCAGCAGTAATAATATGATTGCGTTTCTCAATAAAACACATTCCCACAGGGTCAGTGAGCCTGACGCTGAAAGGAAATTGTACATTGATTCATCAAATATTAATATATCTGCTCATGAACAGATGACCATTAATGCAAACTGAAAAACCAGCACCCTTATTAAAGTGGTTTGGGTGTGAAGACAATGCACATAAGCACAGTATACATATACACACATATTTAGATATTCAAATATCTCTTGCATTGTTGTATTTTGGGTATGCATCACAACATGTTCTTACTGTAATCAGCAATTTATTCCTTCATATAAATTCACACTTATATGTATGTTTGCAAATACATATGCTACCATATACTATGTATACAGCACTGTAATGAACCACACAATACAGTACATTTGCTGCTGTTTTTAACAGATTTTCTAGCTTACTACTTTATTATTATTTTCTGTCTTTCGGTTACTCATGAAGACACTTACCATTGTGAAATGGAATCCTTCACACAATGCTAAACTTCCTTCACAACATTATTTCCATGCTGACAGGAAAGTCAAGAGTGAGCACATAGGCCTGGTTTCTATCCATCGAGTATTGTGAAAGTTCCTCATTATTCCTCCGTATTTTGTGAATTTCCTTCATTACAGTCACAATGATCAGCTCCCACACTTGCAAGAACGTGTTATAAGTCACACATCATAGAAAACAGCTTCCGACCAAACATAAATAAAATTTCCCTTTGTTTCCAAACAAATCTTCCGTTTAGTAAGAAGAAAGATTTTCCTTGCCGCTCTATCCCATTTAATGTACTATAGAGGCAACATACTCAATTTGTAGTTGTCAAAACTTAAAAAACGGTTTCGTCATTAATTGTCTATGGGATCAAACTAACATAAAAATAAACTGCTCGGTTGTGTTAGTTTTATTTTAAGTTTAAGGGGCCGGTGCCATGTCAAGACAAAGAACACAAACATGTATACAACAAAGACAGCCTGAATATATATTACACTGCTTCGTCATGCACTTGGGTTCCAGCACGAGAAACATATTTATGAAGTAGCTAACTATAAATTCAAAACTCTAAATGTATATTCTATTCATTAGCTCTATTTAATAATAAACCAGAAAACGATACACAAGACTCACAATGACGGGAAACTGACCTGTTGACACAGTTCCTCCTTTTTCTCAGAGGAAGAGTGCTGAGAGAGGGACAAGTTAGGTGCTATATATAACCGGCTCTCTGCTACCTAACAGATGACATTAGACCGAAGAAACAATGACCATTCTTTTCTCCTCCCACACCATGTGTATGTGAACTTATTTGGGGCAATTTTTTACACTTCATCCCTCGATTAACTGACAATAGCTGATGGACCCCTTTGTCACAGTGTTAACAGATATGAGGCACTTTAAGCTAGCATATGGGTTTACCACCTGGCTCCCTTGTCTTTTGTGGTTTTAGAAACAAGCTAAATTTTGCAATTTGGCATACAAGACCAGCAGACAGCTAATGTATTCTGTGCCACACAGCCAATGTACATTATTTATAATTTATCTTTGAAAAACGGTCTGTGTCTTATTGCTGATAGGGTGTGCTAACAGTAAAGATAAGAGCACAGTTTTTCTCTTGGAAAACACCTGATTTCTATGAAAGCTAAACACACCAGGGATAACTTTGCAAAAGCCTATCTTACTAGTTTTGTCACAGACATGCAGTTAACACACCAATGCTGCTGTCAGTTCCCTAAACCTGTACACCCCCAGGACATGGCAGGACATCTGTAACTACCTTACTCTGGTCAAGGTTGAACAAAGCAACATAAACACGGTCAAATGTGCACCAACTTGTTTTCTATTCACTGAAAACAGGTCTAACACGGCTATAACATGGCAGAGAAGATGAACACAATAGAAAGACAGGCTTCCTTGTTTGTAACACTAACACAGAACAGAGTGAGGAGGGGGATAATAAGGACAGAGCGAGCATGGCAAGTACAGACTGAGAAAAGACGCGCAGAGATATGATTAGGATCAATGTTACCTGTCCGTGCTTGTTCAAAAGAAGTCCTCTTCCATGTTGATACAAATATCTTAAAGACGCACACACAAACACATCGGAGGAGATAAAAAACAAAAGGAGGAGGAAATGACCAGTTAACTAGAAGATGGGAGGAGGCAACCAAGCATACTGACAAGGAAACAAGAGAGCCACAAGAGAGCGTGTGAATGTCTGCTGGTAGAAGTTTAAAAAAGTCTAAAGGTAGTTCCTGGTAACAAATCACTTTTGTTTGCCTCTCTATCTTTATTTCACACTCTCTCTTTCTCCCGGTGTCACTCACAGAAGCTAATGAGGAGGAGAGTTTTTAACTGCTCTGTGTTGTTCTCCATTATAACTTCCTCCCTCTCTGTGCAGCTAGTTTCCCTTTACTTTTTCCCCCCAGAGAACATGCATACATTACTCATACAATAACTACTCCACCGCCTGAGGTAAGGCATTAGTTCCCTTGCTGGTGACGAAACACTCCAAAATAAGAAAGTACTTCTAATCTTGCCTGCAATCAAAAGGAACACAAACACACATATGATAAAGGACTGCTGGAGTAACATTTGTGAGTTGAAGCATCATAGTCCAAAAAACCCTCCTAGTGCTTTGTATCATGTAAACCCTGTTAAAAACAAGATTTTATATTGAGGATTGCAATACAATAGTTAGAAACGGTCACCTCAGAACCTTTGAAAAATAAAATACCCACACATGCACAACCTCCAGTGGTGAGGTATGAGAAACCACATAACAGACTGCAGCCTCACAGATAGGCTCAATTGGTTCATAGATGTGCACTCAACATATTTCCGTACTCAACAGGCCACTGAGCCTTAGGTCCACTCAGTCACTCAATGTGCTTCGGCCTGTCAGTTTCAGGAAGTGTCTAAGTTTAATTTCAGGAAGTGTTTGAAAGTCACCAATAAAATGTTTTGTGTCTAAACTGAAACAAGAGATGCATTTTTCCATCTTGTCCAATAGATGGCAGCCTAATCCCCTACGAATCAATAACACTTACTTTACAGAGGTGGAGGAGAAGAGAATCCATGACCACTTCTCAGTGAACTTACTCAACACAAACACACATCGCTGACAATTATTTGCATAATTCTTTGTCAGTTTACCTTCAGTATAGCAGCCTTGCATACTCAGAGGAACAGCATATTACTGAAACTCACAATCTTCTGCTCAAAGTTAACATGCATACAGTACACAGTGGGAAGTGCAGTATAGGTGCTTTTAAGGGTGTGAAAAGCAACAGCATCATCCTGTAGGGGCAGAGTGGCCCAGGGATGGATGCATTTATGACATATATTAGATAGATACAGGCAATGTCAGAGGAAAAGAAGGGCAGTTTTAGATTCACAAAAGAGGACAGGGGCAGTCCCACTACTTCACTCGACTCCTGTTTACATACTTGACACAAGGCCCATAAGAGAAATGCTACAGACAGTGTACGGCAAGTCCTAAAAGTCAGCCCATTATAGCAAATACAAACACTCTTAACATGCATTAAAAACTGCATTAATATCCCTAAAAAAATAACCCTTACCTGTGAGTTATGGGAGACTGTGCAGGACATCGCTGTGGGATTGGTGGAGGGCCTTTGGGTACTGCCCCTGCTTTTGGAGGGAGAGGTGGAGCATTTCTGTCGTCACTGGGGTAAGTGATGGGGGAGACAGGTGAAGACTTTCTTCCTTCATCACTACCTAAATGTTGGCCAGCTGGCTGAATGGCTAACGTCTGAGGCTGAGCTGGGGCAGGGGGGCAACTGGGAGGGTGGAGAGGTGCTTGTGACGGGGAATGTGTAGGGGTGCTGGTGGGGGAGGAACTCTGGGACACAGATCTGCTCTGTATAGCCGGGGCTTTAAGTGCGGGTCTGTCCCGTTTAGGGGAGACAGGGGTTCGAGCAGGAAGTGAGGGGCTCAGGGGAGAGGTGAACGGCTGTGGGGGGCAGTTGAGGGTGCTGCGTGGGGGGACAGGGGGTAAAGAGGTGTCAGACACTGGAGGGACAAGAGAGTTGGAGTGACAGTCCACTGTAGGACCCGGGCGAAACTTAGTCCTCTCTTTAGGAACAGGTCTCTCTCTCTCTCCATCTATTCCCCCATCCCTCTCCTCCTCTTCTCCTCCTCCTCCTCTAGGCACTACTTGTCTTTGTCCAGGAACTGGCTTCTTCTCTCCTCCTCCACTTTCCTCTTTCATCTTGGACACTTGTCTCTCTCTGGGGACTGGTTTCTCTCTTTCCCTGGGTGTAGGTTTCAATGTCTCTTCATCTCTTTTCTTCATTTCCTTAAGAACAGGTTTTTCTTCCACTGGGATCGGCACAGGTCTCTCTCTCTGCAACACTTTTACATGTCCCGTTTCCTCCAATCTCTGATCTTGTTGAGACTGTACAGGGTGAGCATGTGTGTCAGACTGTGTGTCATTATTACCATGCGTTTTGTTCAGGCTAGCCAGGATGCGTCTCCGGTGACCTGGCAGGGTGATTCCCATCTGCTCCAGCTGATCTTGTGTGAGGCTGCGACATTGTCGTAACGTTTCCAGCCCGGCGCTCTGAAATGCCTCAGAATACTGCTCCAGACGCAGCACACATAACCAGTCCCACACAGTCGTACAGGATTCAGGATGAGACATTGCTGGTGTGTGTGCGTGCAGCATGAGTGATGGTAACTCCAGCGTCCAGTCAGACAATGCAGACTTTTCACACCTCAGATCATGGCTTACGCAACCTGTGGAAGAAAAAAAAATATGAACATTATACCAAAAATAATCTATTCATGGAAAAAGCTGGTAATCAGGGGCTTTCAATAGGAACAACTAAAAATGCATGAATCTGATTTTTCCCCCGATTTAAACTGTAAACTTTGTTTTAGTTCCTAAAAATGTATAATTATGTGTCATATTAGTCTGATTATAGACTAGATGACGAAAATCACTTCCTACATACTATACTAGTTTAAGAAATTCCTGCATTGGGAAATATGTTATGATGAGAAGTGCAATAATAATTTAGCTTCCTGAATGTCAGTAATGATTAATAAGCAAGCTGACGACGACATAAATCCAAGAGGTGGTCATTTTTATAGACTGTAAACAGCAGTCTCAAAGTTGTGTGTGATAAAATGTCAGGGTGCAGGACAATCACCTCTGTGAAAGAGGAAGCTATGTTGATGTCAGTGAGATCATCTAGCAGCTTAGTTATTTTGATAAGAACTGTTACTGTATTAACAGCACTTCTGCTCACTTTTGTGTCTCTACACAGCTTGAACAATTATAAAACAAATTGTGTATTCACAAACTGCTCAGGTCAGATGATCATATTCGACTTCAGTATAACTTAGAAGGAAACTGCTACCTGTATTCCACTCATGTATTATACATATGAGGCAAACATACAGTATCTGATCACTATCTCACTGCGGTATCAACCGAAGAAAAACACAAATCTTCCTTTTTATGAAGCCAGCACACAGGCAGTTATGTAGCACTATCACACAACAGACCACTATGGGAGGAAGTGTAATTGACACAACAAGTATTGGCACACACAGCACGTTCACACAGACTCACTCAATTCTCTCTAACGCACACTTGAAGGCTGCATAAGTGGACTCAAGATCAGCTTCCTACCAAGCATTTCCATCCCTTTCCATTAGCACTCTCTTAACGGAACATCCACTCTAGGTTTTTGTTTTTCACTGCAGTATGTCTTAGGATAGGAATAATGTACATCACAACAGTGTTCAAACTGTCCAAGTATGAGGATTTTAAGTTTTCACATACAGATCAGTCACAATGTCAGGCCTTGATTAGCAAACAGCAGGCAGTGCCAGCTCCCTGCACTCACATAATGCCAACCTGTCTGATAAGCAGTAAGCAATAGCTCAAGAATCGTTGTGAGGCATGAAACTGGAGCTATCAAAAAGAAACATCTGCAAAATTGAATTCTGAATATAATCATTAATCAAACGTCTACTGTGTTCACACTGTCTCATAACATCTCTCTACCTCGTACTTTTGACCACAAGGGAAGCTGCCGATTTCCCAAGCAGAGCCACAAACAGCCTTTCCTCAACACACACACGCACACACTCTATAGTGAATAGTAGCTAGGCTAAGATATATGTTTATTCATTATTATTATCATTAAGCATATGTACATTTGACCGCCAGATCAGTTCAATACAAGGTCTACTAATATGCCTAATCCCCCTGCTGGAGAACTGCTCCTGAGAACTATAGTCCATATTTTACCAAATAAGAAAGAGTGCAGTTTCATTTACAGCATTACTAATTATTAGTAATATTCCTCTTTTTCATAAGAAGAATATCAGATAAAACTGCATTCAAGCATTCAAGGATACATGGCTGGTCATAGGGCTGGGCGATATATCGATATAAAAAATATATCGATATATTTTCAAATGTGATATGGAATTAGACCATATCGCATATATCGATATAGTTCAAATTTGCGCTGTGATCCTTGCTCCAAGCAAGCTACTGACCCGGAGCTCTCTGCACTGCTCCCCGCCAGCACCCATACAAACGTAATGTTTGTGTTCATATCCATAATTTAGACTGTAACGTTGTCAGACTGTTAGGTTAGCTAACTGCTGAGTAATTCACTGATGTTACAGGTAACTTAACGTGGTAACGTTACGTTAACGTTGTCAACGTCGGCGTGATTCATATTAGCAAAACACAACGTTAATATTGAGTGTGGTTTTAGTCGGGATGGGTTGCTTGTTCTATGTGCCATATCATAAAACATTCTGTTATCTTCATGAAGCACAATATTATATTTTAGCACTTTAGTGGTTCAATTTAATTAAAAAACCGAGGCTGGCAGCATATTGTTTCACTTATAAACACAACACAATAAATATTCTGTGAATTTAATTTGTAGTACACAGACACATGACGAGAATAGTGACAGATTACACAAAATGGTACAGTACTAAATTTTAATTATTTAAATATTAATGGACCAGACTGGTGACTAGAAGTGGGGGCTGAGCACACAGTAACTGACACTATCCAGTCCGAGAAATGTTGAAAAGAGTGCATTTCCTGTCAAGAGTTTCCTCTAACAGAGCAGACACCACAGGGCACAGGGACAGTGTGAATCTTGCTCTCTGATCAAACACAGTTCCTATTTTTAAATTGAGGAACTCAGAAACACAATTGGTCTTCACTCCTCACTAGAATGTTACTCATGACCTAAAGACACCAAAAAAATACATTTCAACACATATAGATATAATTTACACCTCAGCAGCTAATCATTCTTGTACAGTGTGAATGTGTGAATCGGTGACTTTAAGGAACAGCACTAAGAGGCACAGTGTTAAATGCTAATATAAAGAAGGTGAGATAAACTCAGTTTTTGATTGAGGCAAGTCAAGAGGCTGTTGCAATAGTAACAGTCGATGACAAAACAACAGCATATCAGATCTTTTTCTCTAAACTTTAAAGCAGATCTTACTTAGGAAATATTTATTTTTATTTTGACTTATTTTTTTCTTTTTCTTTTTAAATCAAATAAATCAATCCTGTAGCACAGTGGTTCTCAACCTAACGTTAGCTGACTTAGCCCTGGGGTGGCAGGAGCCAAACCCAGCCAAAAACACCTCTGTACTTTATTCGTCAAATTATTTTGTGATTATAGCACCTTAATAATCTGGTGAAAACTGGATGGAGGGCCTCATGGGAATGACAGGGAAACAGAAGTTATGTGTGGATATATATTTCCCATTCCCATCATAAATGTAACTGTACACGCAGGTATCATGAAATACCACAAATGAGCCCGAGTGGTATTTGCACTCAGTCAATTAGTTCAAACAGACAACAAGCACACCGTTAGTTTTGGTCTTTGTGAGGCTAGACCATCTCCTGGAAAGAAAGTGCAGGTTCCCCTTTGCATTGAGGTCCTGCAAAGGACCCGAATAAATTCTACATCTCAGTACTACCAGCTTTCCACTGCTGTCCTAACTCAGAACAAAGCCAGACCAACTCTTGAATGTACTCATGATTACAGTAGTTCCCTACCTAAGATGTATCATTTCTGGAATTGTTTCAAGGACTATTTTTTCACTTCACTTTTGATTGAGACTACCTGCTTCCCGTGTTTGTGCTTCGCTAGGCTAAGCACAACGAATAAACACAGAAAGATAAAACTGATATTGATCTTCTCGTCTGTCAGTAAGATGGGAAATACGCATATTTTAAAAAATGTCAACGTGTCAGAGTTTTCACCTGAAAGCACATAATATTACAGAAAACTCTAGGTGCTTCATAATTTCTGTGCAGTCAGTGTAACTGTTCATCAACTGCTGACTTCCTTTTTCCTGGGCTTTTTTTATTTAATTTTCTGCAGTTTCCAACCAGCATTTTGCTCTCTTTGCTTTCAATTCATTTATCTCTCCATCTCTCCCTCCCTCCCTCCCTCCCACTCAGAAAGCTGCCAATAACAGGGTCTCTGTGCAGCCTTCACAATGGGGCATTCTGTGGCCCAGGCAAACACACACACACACACACACACACACACACACACACACACACACACACACACACACACACACACACACACACACACACACACACACACACACACACACACACACGAAGGAGGGAAACGCATGGTGGGGGCCCACTGTTTGAGTCTGGTCACACTCTCTAAAACAAGTGCTCACCTAATAATATTGTGTGTGTGAAGTTGTTGAGTAGGGCTGGCCTCAGAAATTGTGTTTCAGGCCTCATATCCCCTTTCAATGTAACACACACGGATATCCAGGAGGTTACACTTTGTCTCCGTTTGCACTGGTCAATGCTGGCTGACGTCAGCACATTATCTTTCTCTCGGACAGAGGTTGAGTTATTTCAACACAAGTTGAGTTATTTCTAAAGACAACACAGCAAAAAGTAAAAGGACGTGTCTAAAAAACAGAAGACACATTTTAACTTGAACATTATAATGAGACCTCAGCAACAACATCACACATTACTGACACCAAAAACACATGACTGCCCTCCCTTCCCGCTCTCTTTACATACATAACACATTCATTGTGACAAGTTTGTAACTGTCCACTTACAGTATGTCACAAATCTAAAAGAGTATGATGAAGCTATAGTGTCAGCCTGTAAACATCAAATTATTATAACTGGCATTAAATAAACAAATGTTAAAGAGTACATATTAGCTATACAGTTCCTATGTCAGCCTGGTTGTCTTTAAATTCAGAATTGGATAAGAATTAAATATTTTCAATAAAACGAGAGTTTTAAAGAAAGTATAAACACTCAATAAGATCTCACTGTAAACAAATCTAAAATGTCAATAAAAGAAATATATAATATTCCTGACATCAAAATACTGAAGTGAAGTATAGAGTCAGTATCAGTCATTCATCCTGTCCTCCTCTGATGCGACTCTCTCCCTGGAGGTAATGCTGGTAGAGAGGGGGGCTGGTTTGTCTCAGCCAGCAGCTTGGTTTAAAACAAGAATTAGATTTTAAAATAAACATGCAGACAACTTCTATTTTGGTAGCAATTCACTATTAGCTGAGCTAGCTCGTTGGCTTTTGTAAAACAGCAGAAGTGGATGAGAGAAAGTGAACGGAGCAGATATTGCTTCTCTACACGTTTACATGATGATGCTTGTTGAACAGTGTTTTACTAGCGGCACTTTTATTATATTTACTTCCATTAATGAATTAACGTT